AGCGACATGACTCCACAGGAGCTGGCGGCTCCTGTCAACACTGTAGCTGTGAGTATGAAGACCGGAAAGGACCGAAAGTCTAGCAGCACGAGCACAGAGATGCTAACGCTAGCGTGGAGGCTGTTAGCTCATAGAGATGCAGAGTGAAGGGGAACGTCCTGTGTCCCAGTTTGTTGTTTCTGATAGATATTGTTTCTAGTGTACAATTTGGAGAAAGTGCATAAGTATGTACACAGTTCGAATAGTTTTCGCGTTATGAATAAAAACGGACTTGTTGTTTATTTGCTCGTTTTCCCTTTTTAACAGGAAAAATGGAAGTTGTTACCAGCCTTCCTGAAGGTAACAGAACACAACAGCCCTTACACACTTTTACTAAATTGTAATGCTGCTTGATTAAAATATGTTTAAAGTATGGTAGAAACTATAATAGTGTGCTGTCATGTTTATAAAAACAGTTTGAGGTGATCTGAGCTCTGTGAGATGGTGCGTTACCCTGCTGGAAGCAGCCATACTGTGGTCAGCACCAATGCTTAGCAAGCCTTGGTGTTTAAATGGTGCTTAGTCAACTGGGGACCGAAGTGTGAGAAGATAATATCCCCCAACCCATTTGTACCACCACAACCAGCAGCCCCATGCTTTCATGATGTTCACACCAAATTCTGAAATCAAAACTCATTAGACCAAAAAACCTTTTTCCAATCTTATATTGCTGAGTCTGTGCAAAATGTAGCCTCAGTTTCGTGTAGTGGTGTAGTAGTAATTTTACTTACTGTTGCCTTCCTACCACTCCAAAGCAGTCAGACAATAACAAGGACATCTTTATTTAAATAGTACAGGTCATTACATAGAATAGAATAGAATTCAACTTTATTGTCACTGCACATGTCACAGGTACAAGGCAACGAAATGCAGTTTGCATCCATCAAGAAGTGCTTTAGCCATGATATAGATATATTACAAATATATATTAGCAATAATATAGATATGTATGTATATTACAGAAATGGATCTATTATGGTATGTTATAATGTACACGGTATGAAGGTATGTTATGAATATGCTATAACTATAAGTATGTACAGGCTGTAGTGAGTACAGGCTATGAACAGGATATAAATATGAAAATCTATACAGAAATATGAAATTAAAAAAACTATACAGAAATATGAGATATACAGTTATACAGAAATGTGAACTATGCAAGTTATAAACAGTTGTAGAATTAAAAATTATCGTATTTTACAGAATGATTATTTATACAGAATTACATGACAGCTGAAAAAAACCCTTTGTAGGTTTATGATGTCTTAAGGCATTAAAAACAATAAAATAAAAAAAAAACAACATCTATTAGCTGTGGGCCTGTGCGTCTAAAAAGGTTTTGAGTCTGTTTTTCAATGTACACAGATATGTAACTGATCCTAGGTCAGCAGCCTGCTCCAAGGAACAGAGCCAGAATATCTGAAAGTACCCTCAACACACTAAGATATGATTTTGAGAACAGATCTGAAACTGATGACCTGAGATGTCTGTACTGGGTACCAAGTCATCAAAAGCTTTGTGATTTCTGTGTACCTGTAAGGATTCCAAGGCTAGATTTTAAACGAGTAAGGGAAATCCAACTGATGATTTGGGGAGTCCTGAAACTAGAGCGCTGCAATAAACTAACCTTCCTTGACGTCCAATTTCTCACAGTCAGTTTGAGATAGGGATTTTCTAACCTTTTTTTAAGTTACATAAAGCAGTTTTGGTAAGCTTATTGATGTGGTTATCTGGTCATTTTTCTTCTGATTCCTTAGCAAGATATTTTTGGCCAAAGAAAACCATTTAGTAAAAAGTGAAACATTTGAGTCCAGTATGGCCATGAAATAATGAAATATTGCCATAATGACCAAATATACCCTGTACAATGTGTCTTGTTCTTTTACCCTGTTAAAGTTTTAAGTCATGGACCTTCTTTAAATTACTTTTCTTTGTCATCAAATATCAAAGTATCCTCCTGTGTAATGATGACAGAACAGTTGGTGGGTCTACATCTGTGTGAGTAATATTATTTGGGAGAGTAAACATGTATATCATATTGTGTGTTTTGCAGGTGAAAGGTTTGGTAAAGCAGCACATCGACTCATTCAACTATTTCATTAATGTAGAGGTAAAACACGAGCACGTCTTTGTCTGTTGCTGCTTTTTCATGTACATTTGGATTTTGAGCATCGATGTTTCATTTGTTCTGCTTCTAGATCAAAAAAATTATGAAGGCAAATGAGAAAATCACAAGTGATGCTGATCCAATGTGGTACCTCAAGTAAGTCACTGTGTGCATCTACCATCACTGACTTTAACACTGCAGACATGCACAACAAGTTGGTTTTTTTTGTTTTGTTTTTTATTAAAAGAGGAAATAATGGATTTTTAAATATTTGCAGATACCTCAATATCTATGTTGGCATGCCGGACGTGGAAGAAAGCTTCAATGTGACCAGACCAGTCTCTCCCCACGAGGTGAGAGTAGTCTGTGTTTCTGCTGTTAAGTATGAACCATTGTTTACTGTGCTTTAATTAAAGTTGAATAAAGCTTTTGAGTAATCAAATACACAGCTTTAAATTAGTTAAAATAAGTAAATTTAAAAAAATAATAAATTTTAAAAAATAATAATAATATATAATATATATATATATATATATATATATAGTATATATATATATACAAAATAGATATATATATATATATATATATATATTATATATATATATATTATATATATAATTGCCACATTAATTCTCTACACTTTGGACAGATAATCACACATTAAATACAGAGGGAACATGTGTCACTCAGGCATTTCTAGACTCAGTTGGCATTTAGTTGTAGCCCTCATAGAGGTATTTCTTAATTAATTATTTTTGTTACTTATATTTTAATGCCTACACCTCCAATACTTTCCTTTAAAGATGATGAGATATATCTGAGAGTCATCTGTTTCATCCCAAAGTGTCGTCTCAGAGATATGACCTACTCTGCGCCCATCACGGTGGATATAGAGTACACCCGTGGCAGTCAGAGGATAATTCGCAATGCGCTGCCCATCGGAAGGTATCTTTTTTTTTTCCCCCCTCCCCTGCTCCTTTTCTGTGATGCAGACATATTTATGTTACATCTATATCAAATCTACAAATTTAAAACCTCTCCAGCAAAGCTCAGTAAGCCAACAAGTGCTAAAAAAAGATTTAGCTTTTGTGATTTTTAAGCTTTGTTTGCTGATAAACTGACCTCCTTCACTCATTTGTGCTGACGCATTCTGCTTTATAACAACACTGAAGCAATATTCATATTTTATTAATGAAGATAACTCTGCTTTTCTCAGGATGCCCATCATGCTGCGAAGCTCGAATTGCGTTCTCACGGGAAAGACGCCCATGGAGTTTTCAAAACTCAACGAATGTCCCCTGGATCCAGGCACGTAACCATAGCACTCTCATTTTAACTCTTTCCCCCTGAAGGGCCTCACCTGAACCCTTAATGATGAGTTTTGGCATCTCAGTATATATATCAGTAAAATGTTTGATGACCATTTAGGGCTCTAGAGTGCGACTAATTTGGTCGCAAATATGACCAAATTTTTCATATATGAATCCAGAGATCTGAACCAATCTTGTGATGGTTTGTTAGTTTTGGGTTGTTTTCTTATTTCAATAGAGCAGGGCTCGAGAGTGCGACCAACTGTTCGGGTAACAAAAAAAAAATCGGCAACTCTCCGTGTGGTCAACAACAGACACACAGTATGGCCCTATCGTGGACTAAACCAATCAGAGATAGTCAGGGGCGGGACCTCTCTGATTGGCCGTGGTCCAGTTGAAAGTGCAGGTGGAAGTGGGAGGTGAGTAGCTTGAATAAAACGATATCGATTCAATAAATCCTGAATCGACTTTTAAATAGAACTGTGTTTTGCCAGAAACGCCAGATTCTCAGATTAAAGCCCACAAAACTAATTCAACAACCACCAAACAGCAAATGAGAGCAGGTACACGGATTCCACACAAAGACGTAAACACAGAGCGGACTCAACGCATCAGAATCAGCTTTCTCTTTCTCGGCTTTCTCACCTGATGGCCCGAACACGGACACACTGTCGTAGCTCACCGATTCTGATGCGTTGGGTCCGCTCTGTGTTTACGTCTTTTTGCGCTGATTCTGAGCTGCAGGTTTTGTTTTGAACCGAGCTTACCATTACTGTTTTGCTTTCACCACGATAAAAATCACACTTCATGCACAGCTCCCTCTCTCTCTGTACTTCAAACACCCATCTCAAATCTCTGTTTTCTGCATTATTCTTAATAGTCGACGCGTCGTTTGAAGCTTTGTAAGATCCAAAAGACGCAGGAATAAGTAGCAGGATTTAAGAGTGTAATAACGGACTGAAACAGAAGATGGCAGCACTGCATGTACAAGGATGCCAGCTGCCGTTAAACCCCGAAGAAGAAGAAGCAGCTGTGTCCCAGAATTCATAGCGCGGCCCAGCTTAGTTTCCAACAATGGCGGTAGCTAGTTAGTTTTAATATTACTCTTATTATTCTTTCTGGGTCACAAAATAAACGTTTAACATATTTTCAGGCGAGAATGTAGCTGTGTAAACCTCAAATATCGGCTCAGTTTATCAGGACACCACATATTTTCAAAAGCGCTCCGACGTTTTCGGAGACGTCTGTTACCCACTAGCTCGATAGCTAGCCGGGGGCTAGGTCACTAGCGCCGTGAGAACACCGGACTCCCGGCAAATGTTTTCAAACCCACCGCCGTCTTTCGCACTCAGGTTAAATATATATGAGTCACTTAGATAAATTAAAAATGTTAGTTGTTTGGCTTTTTTTTTTTATATTTGTTCCTGAGTAAATCGGTTTGGCTGAGATTAAAGTTATAGTTTTTACACAGCTGAATAAACGTCAAGCAGACAGCTGATTATCAGAAGTGTGAGATGCTGGAGAATATACTCCGTTGTCCTGTTATATTTTAGATAGCAAGGAGTTTATTAAACTTCACCGAAACAATCTGCAAATTTCATTAAAATGTGAATAAACTATCATCTTGTCTTTATTTTTAGTTAGCACCTTAAAAGCTAAAGCTGTAAGCTAATGATAGTTATATAAGAGCAGATGCTGCTGGTGCAATAAGCTGTAGTTTTACGTCCAGTGGATGATGATCTGATTAGTCGACTAATCGCATAAATAATCGGTGACTAGTCGACTATCAAAATAATCGTTTGTGGCAGCCCTACTGCATAGTAAATATTACTTAGTACACAACACTTTATTGCTCATTAATGCATTTTAATGACTGATAAGCATCCAAAAATGGAAGCTAGAGTGTGCCAGTATTAGCAACTATTCATAAGTGGTGCATGTTTCATTTTAATATTACAAAAATTCATGCAATCTCCAAATTAAGAAAGAGACATTTCTGGCTTAAATTCTGAAAGCGGAAGCAGGATTTCACTCTTAATGTTGTTTTAATATAAATCTATAAATCTCCATCTAAGTAACTCCTGCTTTCTAATTTTTGTTTGATCAGTGACCACTTTATTCTTCTATTACAAGTTACAGGCCATTGATGAAAATTTTAAGTTAAACTCACATAGGAACACAAACTGAACCTCTACTTAATTGGAGGCACTACGGGTGATGATGTCGGTACGCCTGATATTTGATTGTTTTGGGGTTTTTTTAGCTATCATAAGGATCTTTAATAAATGTAATAAACATTTTGATATGTTAAATGAACATTTCCCCTGCACGTCTGTTTCTTTTGGCCTGCAGCTCTATTTATCCATCAAGACTGTTTTGCAAGCTGTTTGATGTCAGATACTGACTTTAAAGAGAGTCCAGCCAGCAAGCAATACAGCTCAGCCGACCAGGACACCATTAATACTGATATTTTAGTTTTTTATGTTCAATATTTGATCAACCCAAAATAAAAGATGAATGAAAATGAATTTGGTCCATTTTTGTGACAAAGAATTTCATGTACACATGTTTTGTATTACAGTGCTGTGAAATTTAACTATATATCATTTTAAAATGATCACTAATAGCCTATTTAAAGGTTTTTATTGTTTGTTTTTATTAGTGCATACTCAAATATGGGATTTTTTGTCCTTTAAACTTTAACTAGCCAATGAACAGACATTTTTGGATGCAGGCAAATTAGAGGATCTGTAACTTGGAAAATGTCAAGATTTTATCTTTAATAGTTTTCAGCTATTTATATTTAAACATAAAAATAAATAAACATTAAAAAAGGTTTGACACGATAACCTTTCTAAAATATATATCTTAAAAGTGTCTGACATATGAAGCTAAAATTCTCATTATATACGCAAAAATTTTGGACCATAAAATTTTGATGCAACATGCAGATGGTTGAGTAGAAAACTTTCCAAAATGTTGTTTGAGATGGAACGACCTCCTGAGCTATAGCAGCCATGACTTTCTCACCGTGGATATCGCATTGACCATGCCGTTGGTGATCTGATCCTGCCGCATGTGCTTGACCACATCAAACTGAGCTGCTCTCTGCTTGGGGATGATCTGGTCTGCGATTTTCTTCAATTCGGCATTAAACTTCTTAAAGAGATCTTCAAACAGCAGAGACAGGAGCTAGAAAGAAGCAAAAAAATGCAGATGTTTTTGTTTGCTTTTTTAAATCTCAGGTCTCCTGGCACGCAGTGTCAGTTCACGTGCATCTACTGCCAGATGTAATAACCAGGTGTGCCAGCTCACAAGTAAGCCAGGTCCCTGTGGTCCTCTGTCCGGTCTACAGGAGGCAACTTCTCTTACAACCCCCACCCAACCTGTGCATTAGCATACATCCAAACAAACAGGCAGCACTGCTTGAAATTAATAAAGAAATTAAGCTTCCATTGCGCAGCCAGGCCAATTAGTTGAATGTCAGGGAACCATAATTGGAGAGTGAGGAGATTGCTGGCGTTGTTAGTATGTAAGCCCCCTATTGAAACAGGGCTCTGTGCTCCCCCCTCCCTCGATCCCTCCATCTCCTGCTCCTTATACAGAGCAGGTTGGGGGGGAAATTAAAGGCCTTAAGACAGCAGTAATTACATTATCAGAGCCGGGCCTGCGGATTAGCTCAATCGCTCCAGTCAAGGCAGCATTTCTATTGTCACGGTGCTGAAAAATCCCCATGCTTCCACAGCCTCAGGATTTTGGTGCCACCGCATATCTCTCTCCTGACAAAGCCAGGCTGAAATACTAGCGGGGGAAAGGAGGGGGGTTCAAAAACAAAACAGGGAAAAACAAAGCTGAGGGAAAATAATGAGAGTCTTATTAAAAGAAGGTGGCAGGAACAAAGGTGCAGGTGAGAGATCAGGCCTGGAGCCGGCGCTGTCCTCTGGTGTAGTGCTGTGATCCCTTCACACTGAAGCACGAGAGTGTTGGTGTGTTTCTGCTCGTATGTTATTAATAAGCATCAGGCATGTTTTGTTTCTAGTTGTTTTATGAGTAAAGAAAAGGAAGTAAACACCTTTCAGCTCACAAACATGAAAAAAAAAATCAATAATAATTTAACTAAAACTTTATAGTCTGAACTGAACTCTGGCTCATTTGGTTTTAAAGTCAAAGAACAAAAACAGAACTGAATGCAGCATTAAATAAAGGCAGTGCATTAAAACCTCAAGGATGACAGATGCACAGAAGCTTACCTGTCCAGCCAGCTCAAGACGTTTGTTGCCATAGTAATCTCTGTCATCCACCTTGTTGTCCCCTTGAGCCAGGATCACCCGCCGCACCATCACGGCCAGGTAAATACACTTAGCCCGAAAATTAAACTCTTTCACCTGGACACAAGTTATACAGTCTTTACATTTTGTCGAGTAACATTTTAGTGTGAATGCCAGTTATCGTGATGAGCATTCTGTTTACATACAGGCACATGTGTGAGAATGAGAGATGCTAACAGCTCTCTGGCCTCTTCCATCTTTGTTTTCTTGGGGCCTCCCCACATCCGCTGTCTGCGCACTTTATTCCCAAGATACCTCAGGGCCTGAAACAGAGCAGCCAAACAACATTTGATTCAACCTTTTGAGGAACATAAATATTTTTACCAACATGACTAATTTGGGGGTGAGGAAGACAGGAGGAGGACAAGGACACACTGTGGAAGAGAGCCTAATGAGCCAACATTTTTCTAATCTTCTATTGTCGAGTTCTAATGACTCTTATGTGAACTGTAGCCTTAGTTTCCTGTTCTTGGCTGACAGTAGGTGTGGTCTTCAGCTGCTGTAGTTCGCAGCACTCATACTCTTCTGGTACCTTAGGTATAAAGAATGGTTATTTGAGTACTGCTACCTACCAGCTTGAAGAAGTTCAAGTCAGCCGCTTGAACTGCGGCTGACTGGATTGTTTCAGATACATACAGATGGTTGTGTGGAGAAATCCCAGCAGATCAGCATTTTCTGAAATACTCAGATCAGCCCATCAGGCACCAGCAACCATGGCATGTTCAAAGGAACTTAAATCAACTTTCATCCCCATTCTGATCCTCAGTTTGAACTTCAGCCAGCCATTCTGAACAAGTCTAAAAACCTAAATTCACTGATTTGTTGCCATATTGTGTTAACAAGCAGTTGAGCAGGTGTTCTTAATAAAGCTGTGTGTATATGTTACATCAACTGTCAGTCAGACAAGGAACGCACCATGAGAATCAGTTAATTTTCCAACCAACAAAAATGTCCAAAACAACAAATATAAATAAATATTAATATAAATTAATGTTACAGTCTCGAGGAGATATTTTGTGCAAAAGATCAACATTCTGAATTTTTAAACAGAGAACGAAGAATCGTGTATCAGACTCTTGGTAGGTCAAGTGAACCACAAAGGGAACAATGTGCACATCACCCACACCTGAGTAAGCGCCCAGCTGGAGTCCTCAACAGAATTATAGCAAAGGTCAAAGGTTAATAAGGATGGACCACCCAACTTGCCCTCAAAACTGCATAAAAAATAAAAATAATTATTGTTAATATTTCTTTAAGGTAAAGGTAAAAAAAAAAAATCTGTTTAATTTAGAGAAATTAAAAAAAAAAGAAATCAGATGTAATCAACAGTGTCCGGATTCAAAAAAAGAAAAGAAGATGACAGTCAAATTTGGTTTTGCCAGATTATTTATCATAATCTGATAACAATGTTTCTTAAGCCTTATCTGCCTTTAATTATATAGATTTAGGCCTCATTGTGCACAATACAATGACCCAATGAATACCATGAAAAGACATCACGGAGGCTGGCAGACAGAGGAACACGAGAGCTGTGGCGACCGGTTGCTAGGAAGCAAATGTGGACTCATCAATGCATCAGCGGTTCCTCTAACAACATAATCTTTATGAAAAACAAATTGGCCGATTGCATTCATCTGTCGATGTCAAAGAAAAACACGTGGGCCTCATGAAATCCCCATGAAAAGCATTACTTAACTGGCTGGTAAGACAAAACCTTCGTCATCTGATCTCAAAGAGACAAAGAAAATACCTTCTGACAGCAGACAGCCAATAGAAACAGAAACAACATCCTGCTCTGCACACATCCGCAGCTAATGATCGCACATTAGAGATGCCAAGCAATTCACACCGACTTTTACGTGCTCTCACCCAAAAATTATTATTTTTAAACAGTTTTTTGAATCAGGATTTCATTCACTTGAGCACGAGGAACATTTCTGTTTAATAAACAGTCAGAAAATTAACTTCCACTCTAGATGTGCATGAACAGTTTATTTTTATTGTGTGATTTTAACTTGTCACATCTGTAAATATGAAGGTGGGGAGCTTATTTACAAAAACGAGCCGGGAACAAACAACAGGCTGAGGTTCTGGGCTACGTGACCAATTGGTCATCTTTGGTGGTGCTAGGACCATTTCTGTGCTAAGGTTAAGGTGAGAGAATAGTCTACGGTTACAGCATACCTACAGCACAGATTTAACCGAGATGTACATCCCATGCATGTTACGACATCTCTCTTGTTAGTGGTGGTGAAGTTCAAGTCTTATAACCCTTATTACTGTAGTTCTTTTATAGCATAAACATTAGCACTGTACTTTCAGTGCTTTTTAGTGCTCCTTCAGTTTTGTAATATTACTTTTTTCCCTTAT